ATTAGTTTTTGGTTACAATGAGAATTACCCCAAAAGGAACCTGTTATATCACATCTGACTTTGAAAATATTACCTTGGTAAGTATAGTCCCTGAAACTGAACAGTAACCTACCTTTGTCAAAGTTTCATAATCTCATTTGTAGGCAATTCTCCTGTATCTCCCTGATTTGAAGTAGTCAACAGAGCACTCACTTCAGGACTATACCCAACTTCCAACAGGAAGCTGGGGGGACATTGTGTTATGTGGGTCCCTCATTATAGGTCACGTGAACTAAACATTATTATCCCAGTTTCACCAGCTTCCTTAAGCTTCCATGGCATACATTCATCCAGATTCTCCTTCTCTCTTCTAAATTTTATGCATTTTTTGTACTCATAATCCCAGATACACTCACAGAAACACACAGTCCTATTCTTGCCCTATTCTGACATTCAAGACCCTCCATAACCTGGCACTAATCTACAGTTTTCAGCCTCCATTCCAACCATGCCCTTAGAGTGCAGCTCATTGCTGGATGAACTCCCCAATGAAATGCTTCATCTTGTCATTATGGCTTCATTCATTGACCCCAGGGCTCCTCTTACAGACTGCTGCATGGTCAGCTCCTTCTCAACATCAGGTTTTAGTTCAACAGTCACCTCCTCAAGAGATGATTTTCCCAACCATCCAAAATAAAGTCCCAGCACCACCACCACCCCCATCATTGTCTCTAACACTTTTTATGAACTGTCTTCATTGCATTTAACACTACATGGACTAATCTCATTGGCTTCTTTATTGCCTGCCTCCCTCTCCCATCCCTAAACTATAAGCTCTATGAGAGCAGGGGTCTTGTCTGTTTTGCTCATTATTCTATCCTCCATACTTGGAACTGGACTTGGCACATAGTTGTAGTCCAAATAAAAAGAATAAAACAAATGAATCCCAGTTAATGAAATGCCACAAAGGCCCAATTCAACCCCTATGAGTTTTGCAAACTTTTCCCTAACTACTCCTGGGGCCCATAATCTTTTCCTCTTCTTTAAATTGTTCTAGTGCTTTTGGTCTATATCAGGTTTGGCAATCCTTTACCTGTCAGATACTATTCATATGAGCCCAGTCCCACCAGTACTGTAAATAAGCCAGGATGGGAACCACTCAGGGCACCCAGAGCTTGAGGCCAACCCTTCCTGCCACACTGAGAACAGGATTCTGTGATTGAGTCCATACAACCTCTAAGGCATAAATGCACTCTAGCAGTTTTTATGCATGGACTTACTCCCCTATTGAGTTCATCAGCTGTTTCTCTTTCTCTTTACGTCTTCAGGCCTATGCTGATGCACTACACTCATTTCACTGCCATGGCCATAAGGGCTGCATTTATACCCAGTGTCTAAC